GTGGAAAGCATTTGGTTGTCATGTTGCGTACTGTTTGCCAATGCCGCCTCCCCCACATTTTATATTGGCCATTTAAGTAAATATAATTGGTCCCGGAGGGTGGGGGGGGCGGCCAGTAGGAGTAGTAGTCGTTGTCGTCGGTGGTGGTGGTGGTCGTGGTCGTGGTCATGGTCGTGGTCGTGGTCGTGGTCGAGGCGGCGGCGTTGTCTGAAGCTGCTGCCAAGAAAGCACCAGCCCCCATAATTGTTGGACATTTTGGAGACTATTAGGGTCATGTAAGGAAAGCACCAGATCTCTTTGGACCGGGTTCCAAAAATGTTGTTGAGGCTCAATAAAACAAGTAGTTGGTACTCCTCGCGGCTCTGCGATTGGGAGATTTTGAGCAGTTTTGAAATCCACGCCCTGCAGCTTTCAAAAGGGGCGTGCGAGAAGTGCGTTCTGGACTTGAGAAAGGTTTAACAGCAATAAGAACTTCGTGGGCTTCAGGAGTGTAAGCTCTTCATTTGGAAGCCTCATAAACTCCGCTTCAAGTTTCGGACAGCTACAGGCATGATGGGCCATTGCCTGAATCAGCCGCAATAGCCCGAAAGAAGTGAGGACACCCATTCAAGACACAAGGCACTGCTGCCTTGAGGCCATAGCCATCATAGCAAGAATCGAAACGAGACATCTTTGTAGCAAATGCCTGGCAAGGATGCTCTAGGGCTGGGCCACGCATGGTTGAGCATGTAAAGCAACTTTTGGGGTGCTCTGGGGTTGGACATACTGAGGCTGGTCGCTCCAGCCAGACCTAAGGACAAACGAGCAGTGCAGAGAAACCGCAGCGTTGGGAACCCTAAATCCACTTCCTGGTTGCACACTTGATAAAGCAATTGGCAGTTGGGCAGTCCACACTCTCGACCACACTGTACTTACAGGTTAGCCGCAGCATGCAGAAGCACTCGTGTGCACAAGTGCGCACGACGCACGCACGCACGCACGCATGTACACGTGCGCGTTAGCTGTGCACTGCAGGCAGTTCCTCAAAGCCAGAAACCTGAACCCTTTACCCCTCACATTTGCCAAGCCGCCTTTTTTACAGCCCATGCATCCGGAGCTTCCAGGTGGCTGAAGGCTGCCACTTGCACCTCAAGGTTTCGGGTTTAGTTTAGTATACACATATATACATACAGATATAGTATACCATTGGCCCCCGAGGATCTTCGGGCTTTCGAGTTTTAGACTATTCTGAAAGGAAAGTGTCTACAGTGTTCTACCACGGAAGCTTGAGGTTTTAGAACCCAGACTAACAAGGGGGGGAAGCATGATTACAATTGAGGGTCATGCGTCAGTAGTGCTTTGAAAGGCTAGTTGTGAAGGCCCTCTCAGGAGAGAGAGGTTCGCATGAAGCTTTGTGCAGTGCAGACTTCAAATGTAATTGCAGGCAAGACTGGCCCAAATTATGGCATGAATATGTAGCAGTAGCATTTTGGAGATCTAAGTGTAGTCCCTGCCACCATGAAGAGCAACGGTGGTAGCGCTTGTGGTGGTTGTAGCGGTAATAGTAATACCTCAGCAGTAGGGCGAGGTCCGAAGCGTGTTGAGGGTGCAGTCATCTTGCGCTAAGAAAAGGTATGGCTGCCCACGCCCAACTAGAGGTACGACTACAACCCTCTTACGTCGAAATCAATGTGTGGATCTTAGGCTCTATAGACTCTGGACAAACATCTCAAACCCTAAGCACTAGGAGCTATGGTAGCAACCTCTAGGAACAAGCACAAGTCGGGGTGTTTGTCATGCCAACGCAAATGAAAGGTTGGCACTGGGTGGACCAGAGATCCGTCGAGCCAAATGTGAGGTGAAGATTTGTCAGAAGATCCCCATGGTATGGTCCTTGTTTTTGCGCGGGATCAACGACCCCTCCCTCCCAACCTTCTAAGGGTGCAAGTGTATATGGTATGGGGATATTACTGTTGCAGAGCCTGGGGCCAATAGTCCATGCGGCATGCCTGATGATGCCAGTGATCGTCTGAGTCGCTGAGGCCCATGTACTCAAACACCCAAGGGACCAGACCATGAGAGGGGAAGGAACGCAAAACGCCTCACCATACAACGATGGGGAGGGATGTCCCCCTTAACAGTTGTACATTTTGAGAGAACCCTAGTTCACTTCGAGCATGCTGCTTTGGCCGCTGCCGAAGCTACTATAACGTCACGCCACGAACCCTGGACCTTTGATGGGGGCCTGGTTTTGTAGCTGTATTGGGGGCTATATGGGGACTATGTGGGAAAATCATCGAACAACGCGTCCCTTCCGGTCCCCCCAATGCACCCGTAAGACACCAAGCCACCGCAATTCACCTGGGGCGTTTGAGCACAAAGATTCGGGCTGTTGACTGTATCATAGCATATAATATTGAAACAAAATAACCTGCAGAGAAAGCTGATCGGATGCGTGTGCCGGCAGAATAAATTACAGGCTCGCGGTGTCTAGCATTCAGGGCACTCTTTCCATAAAGATTAAATTTTGTGGGTTTAGCTACGCTAGAACATTGGAAGCCAAAGCCGACGCAAATCTGTATAGCTTTCGAGGCAAAGTCTCCATCATCCTGCTCGGAGCCTAATCAGTTGCGCACACACTTCAAAAATCTGAAGCCCAAACCGCCAAGATTTGAACTTCAGTATACAGAACGTAAGAAGCCTCTTGTCACATTTCGAATGCCTTGCATGCCCTTCAAAATCATTGCTGACACCCGGGCCAACCGCTACCCCTTTTCCTGGCAGCAATAGCAAGTCTCCTGGTGTGCAGCCAGGGTGCTTCCCGTAATTGTACTTTCCATAGTACTTGCCATAATACTTGCCATAATATTTGCCATAATATTTGCCATAGTATTTACCATAGTATTTGCCATAATACTTCCCGTAATACTTTCCGTAATACGGCTTCTTTCGCGTGGTGGTTGTCGTGTCCGGCTTTGTCGTGGCGGTGGTTGTCGTCACATCTGGTTCCGTTGTTG